AAAGTGTTGAATGATGATGAAACTTTTGTCTTTCTTTTTGGGTCACCCTGCCTCGGTGGGAAACTGCCGAAGTGTTAAAAAAAAAATTATTTAACTGCATTACACAGCGATATTGGAATGGTGATATGTACCGGACTAGCACGATGCCAACATCAGTATTACTTCAGAGTCCAAGCAGTGAAGCTATGTAATCTTATATGGTACAGATGTATGCACAATTTTTCTTTATTATATAAAATACTAGTACCCCTTTTATATGCAAATACATATGATTAGAAAGAGGAAAATGCAATGATGCTGAGCGTTCTAGTAAACATGAAAAAAAAACTAGAAATTATTAAACATGAAGATGGTGCATGGTATGCTAAAATAGCACGTGACAAGAAAATGAATTATCAGTATGCGTGCTTATAAGGAATGAAGATAAAATAAGAATATACATGGAATGGCTACAGCATCTTATATACAGCAGGACCCCCATATCCGCTGGGGATATGTTTCAAGACCTTCCGTGGATACCCAAAACTGCGGATAGTGGAGAATTAGCAGCTTTTTACTGATGGGAAGCACTTCAGGGCTTTTCTTATGCTTTGAAGAACTGCCATCATCACCATTTTTGCACTTTAGTGCCATTATTACGCTAAGTTAAGGGTTATTTTTGGACCACAGTAACCGGTGGATAACTGAAAGCATGGAAACTGGACCCACAGATACGGCAGTCCTACCATACATCAAAAATTATAGTTAAAAATCATAGTTCTGAAATGGATAACATGGAATGTCTTTTAATGTTATGGATCGAAGACTGCAGCCATAAAAGAATTCCATCAAGTTAGATGATGATTCAAGCTAAAGCAACAAGTCTCTATTTACTGTTAAAAAAACAAAATGGCAATAAAGGGGAAAGTTTTCTGGCAAGTAGTGGTTGGTTTTACAACTTTAAAAAGCATATGGGATTCCATAATGTTCAAATTATTGGTCAAAGTGCCAGTGCAGACAATGAGGCAGCCGCAAGATTTCTTAATGATCTAGACAAATTATTGAAGAAGATATCTACAAAGATGAGCAAACTTTTAAAGTAGATGAGATGGGTTTACTTTGGCAGATGATGCCATCATGCACTTATCTGGCCAAAAAAAAAAAAAATCATCACACCCAGGATATAAAGTCTCCAAAGACCATTTAATACTTTCATTAGGTGGGCATGCATCTGGTGACTTAAAGCCTATGCTGGTGTACAGAGCAGAAAATCCAAGGGCTCTTTAATTCTATTCAAAAAATGCTCTTCCCATTTTTATTATTTTATTATTAATATAATAAAAGCCTGTGCAATGAGACAACTATCTGACGATTGGTTTCCGAATTGTTTTGCCCTGCAGTTGAACATTATTGCAAAGATAATGACATGGATTTAAAATTTTTATTACATTACTGGACAATGCACCAGGTCATTCTACTTCTCTTTCTAACTTGAATGAAAATGCCAATTTAATTTTCCTGCCACTGAATACGACAAAATTATTGCAGCCAATGAATTCACACTGGACGAACTGTTAATGTTAATTGCGAAAGTACTGTAGATGCTTGTGACTTCATAATAAACGTGGATGCAAACAGGTAGGCATTACAAAAAGATATTCAGTGCTATAAAGATATGTATGCTAATAAAAAGAAGAAAAAACTGTGCAAACTACGTTGTACAACTATTTTTCAAAAAAAAAAAAAAAAAATTTTTCTTTACCATATATATAGAACAGTGTTTATTTACAACTGTAATAAAAATATTTAGTACTATTTTTTTGTTTTTATCAAGAGTTGTGCGTGCATTGTATGCATTGATCTGAACTAAGCAAACGGCTAAATATTTTTGTAATTCAATGCATCTAAACGCATTGTTGGAACACATTACACTAAAACACAATAAATATACTTTGATCAGTACAGTATTTAATGGTACCATATTTTTTGATATGCATTAACCGTGACTCACAAAATCGTATTGACACGATTGCAAACAAACCATACCACGGGCGGGGATAGAACCCGCGATCAGAGAGTCTCAAAACTCCAGACCGTCGCGTTAGCCACTGGGCCAGCTAGCCACAATAAGATTCATCCAACTAGATATATTTCTACACTATAGGAAGGTTAGCATAGAGTTTGTCACGGCCACACTAGCTGAAGATTTGTCTGTAAAAACTTGCTCTTGTGGTCACAGTGGTGCCTATGCTAACCTTCCTATGAGGTAGAAATATATGTAGTTGAATGCATCTTATTGTGGCTAGCTGACCAAGTGGCTAATGCAATGGTCTGGAGTTTTGAGACTCTGTGATCACGGGTTCTATCCCCGCCTGTGGTATGGTTTGTTTGCAATCGTGTCATTACGATTTCATGAGTCATGTTGACGGCTTTGAGGGGACTTGAGCAAGAGTTCGTCACGGCCACGCTAGCTGGAGATTCGTCTGTAAAAACTTGCATTTGTGGTCACAGTGGTGCCTATGCTAATTTTCCTATGGTGTAGAAATATATGTAGTTGGATGCATCTTATTGTGGCTAGCTGACCAAGTGGCTAACGCGATGGTCTGGAGTTTTGAGACTCTCTGATCACGGGTTCTATCCCCGCCCATGGTATGGTTTGCATGCAAGGTATTGGTGTACTGTTTTTCATAACAGGTGAAATCACTATATGTAATAAGAATTAGACAATGTGCAATGGTAAACTTGTTACGTGTGAAACACATGTCCAAGACTTTTTTGTAATAATTTATAATATAATTTTTACCTATTTTATTTATAATCTAAGTCTAGTATATTATACACAGTTGCTGTGCCTACATATTTTTTTTTTTGGCCAATATTTCTTGAGAGTGAAAAGAGAGACTGCTGGTGGATCAGGGTCTGATCAACCAGGCTGTTAGTTCTGGCAGCAAACAAACTGACATACAAACCTCAGACCAGCTACTCAGGGACTGACTTTAGGTGCCTGTCCAGTGCCTTCTTGAAGACACTCTTGTGTCCATGGTTCAATCCCCAGCAAGGGTGGAAACATTGGGCGTGCTTTCTTGCACCTGTTATCTTGTTCATCTAACAAGCAAGTAGGTACCTGGGTGTTAGTCACGACAGTGTGGTCCCATCGCGGAGCAAGATTTAGGACCCCAATGGACAAATAAAACTGACAGTCCTGATGACACACTGGACTTTACTGGGTTATCCTGGGTGCTAACCCCTGGGTTAAAATATCTGATCAAAGTTTTTAATTTAACCTCCTTGAATTATACATTTGGTATTACTCCCCTGGAGTCACCTGGTATGGTTAATTCCCAGGGGGACTAACGCCCTCGCGGCCCGGTTCACAACCATGTGCCTCTTCCAGTGGATCTAGGTGATCAACGCCAGCTTTACTTCTAGGAGACTGTTGCCAACGGAGAACCACCCCATTTCTGGATGCATATTACTATTTAGTATTTTGTTTAGCTACTCTTGAAGGCACAGCCAGGGTACAATAAATTACCTAGATGCTGATGGAAGCTTATATTGATAAGCATTGGGCCTTAAATACTTAGGGATTAACCAATGGCAACAGTCGATACATTAAATGTAGATAATTTGCAGCCATGCCCAGTATTACTAGAAGGATATGTTTCTGTGTGTAGCATTCGGGACATATTCTTCAGGATTTTCAAATAATAAGTTAGATTTCGGTTTCTTTACATTTCAACGAGTATAAGTGCTTCCAAGTGTTCCAAGTAGTTCAGGTGTTTGATAGAACACTATCTTTTAATTTCTGTGCTAAACATTTGCAGTAATTATGGTGATCCAACCCTTGGATCACCATAAGCTTGGTGATAATTTATTCCTAAAAATATCCAATGTTAGGTTGGTTTTGTTAGGACACTTTTATGTTGTGCAAACACAAGAAACATTATCTAACCTAATGAAACCAACCCAAAATAACACAATGAACTCAACCTTACACCATCAGGGGAGACATGAGACTGGAGTGCCATTGTCTACATTCATCTTTATTTAGGTTCAATGTGATTGGTCAAAAGTGTCTATATTAAGGGTTGATAGCCCTAACATATGCACATTCTAAAATAAACATATTATATTTGCTATCATTGCAGAATATACCAATCTGCACAAGAAATAACAATTTGTGTATTATTATTACACTCATGGGGGGAGCACTAAACTCACAGGGTTATCCTAGGTAACTTACACATTAAAGTATGTATGATAATTGTGTTTGTGTACCTCTAAGTAAGTTTATTTAGGTATACTTACACAAATTATCATACATAGTAACATATGTATAAATTACCCAGGATAACCCAAAAAAAATTAGACAGTGACTTATTTCCATTAGGGTCCTTGATAACCACTGAAGTCCTTGAATAAACATATTATACTGTACCTGAGGGAATGGAAGGCATTCAGCTGAACTAGATTCAAGGAACTGAAGCACAGCTCCAATCAACAGATCAAAAGCCCCTCACCAGCAACAACTTATACAGGGTAACACACATCATATTCCAATTAAAAAAAAAAAAAATTGGTTTCTCAAAAGTATTGGATGTCCATACTGGTCAAACACTCCGCATAATATTCACACAATATCCCAATATTACATGCATGTTAGTGTCAAAAATCTTCTCGATACAATGTTAGTGAAAAAAAAAAAATCCGGACCCCAATGGAAATAAGTCACGTTTGTCTGACTTTTTTTTTTTTGATGGGGGAGGGGGAGTTATCCTAGGCAACCTACACATATGCTGCTATATATACTAATTCATATAACTGTATTTATGTGTACCTGTAACTGAATAAACTTACTAAGAAAATGAAGTCACATTGCTTGACCCACCCGGGTGGTCCCCCGGCCTAAAACCCTCATAAAGTACTAATTTATATACCTGTAACACCAGCCAGTCGCCAACAACACTCAAAAAAAAGTTATCATATGTCACAAGTGTGGAAGTTAAACACAAAATACTCACTTTAAGAGTATAAAGAGAGAGGACAAATCTCACTTGAATCTCCTGTCTTGTTTACACCGCCACACTCAACCAATGGTTCTCTTACTCAATACGTTTATATATATTTTTCTAATTCTTCTGATTTTTTAAGTATTTATGATGTATGAATGAAGAATTAATAGTAGTCATACGTGTGTGTGTTACTTGGTGGGATTTTTGTGGGGGTGGTTAATTAAAATTTGTGCAACCACATTATTCTGGCTACACTTGTTGTAGTAGTAATAGTAGTTGTAGTAGTAGCTGCAGTAATAGTTGTAGTTGTAGCTGCAGTAATAGTTGTAGTTGTAGCTACAGTATTAGTTGTAGTAGTAGCTGCAGTAATAGTTGTAGCTGCAGTAATCGTTGTAGTTGTAGCTGCAGTAATAGTTGTACCTGTAGCTACAGTAATAGTTGTAGCTGCAGTAATGGTTGTAGTTGTAGCTGCAGTAATAGTTGTAGTTGTAGCTGCAGTAACAGTTGTAGTTGTAGCTACAGTAATAGTTGTAGCTGCAGTAATAGTTGTAGTTGTAGCTGCAGTAATAGTTGTAGTTGTAACTGCAGTAATAGTTGTAGTTGTAGCTGCAGTAATAGTTGTAGCTACAGTATTAGTTGTAGTAGTAGCTGCAGTAATAGTTGTAGCTGTAGCTGCAGTAATAGTTGTAGTTGTAGCTGCAGTAATAGTTGTAGCTGTAGCTGCAGTAATAGTTGTAGTTGTAGCTGCAGTAATAGTTGTAGCTGCAGTAATAGTTGTAGTTGTAGCTGCAGTAATAGTTGTAGTTGTAGCTGCAGTAATAGTTGTAGTTGTAGCTGCAGTAATAATTGTAGTTGTAGCTGCAGTAATAATTGTAGTTGTAGCTGCAGTAATAGTTGTAGTTGTAGCTGCAGTAATAGTTGTAGTTGTAGCTGCAGTAATAATTGTAGTTGTAGCTGCAGTAATAGTTGTAGTTGTAGCTGCAGTAATAGTTGTAGCTGTAGCTACAGTATTAGTTGTAGTAGTAGCTGCAGTAATAGTTGTAGTTGTAGCTGCAGTAATAGTTGTAGCTGCAGTAATAGTTGTAGTTGTAGCCACAGTAATAGTTGTAGCTGCAGTAATAGTTGTAGTTGTAGCTGCAGTAATAGTTGTAGTTGTAGCTGCAGTAATAATTGTAGTTGTAACTGCAGTAATAGTTGTAGTTGTAGCTGCAGTAATAGTTGTAGCTGTAGCTACAGTATTAGTTGTAGTTGTAGCTGCAGTAATAGTTGTAGTTGTAGCTGCAGTAATAATTGTAGTTGTAGCTGCAGTAATAGTTGTAGTTGTAGCTGCAGTAATAGTTGTAGCTGTAACTACAGTATTAGTTGTAGTAGTAGCTGCAGTAATAGTTGTGGCTGTAGCTGCAGTAATAGTTGTAGCTGTAGCTACAGTATTAGTTGTAGTAGTAGCAGTAATAGTTGTAGTTGTAGCTGCAGTAATAGTTGTAGTTGTAGCTGCAGTAATAGTTGTAGTTGTAGCTGCAGTAATAGTTGTAGTTGTAGCCACAGTAATAGTTGTAGTTGTAGCTGCAGTAATAGTTGTAGTTGTAGCTGCAGTAACAGTTGTAGTTGTAGCTGCAGTAATAGTTGTAGTTGTAGCTGCAGTAATAATTGTAGTTGTAGCTGCAGTAATAGTTGTAGTTGTAGCTGCAGTAATAGTTGTAGCTGTAGCTACAGTATTAGTTGTAGTTGTAGCTGCAGTAATAGTTGTAGTTGTAGCTGCAGTAATAGTTGTAGTTGTAGCTGCAGTAATAGTTGTAGTTGTAGCTGCAGTAATAATTGTAGTTGTAGCTGCAGTAATAGTTGTAGTTGTAGCTGCAGTAATAGTTGTAGCTGTAACTACAGTATTAGTTGTAGTAGTAGCTGCAGTAATAGTTGTAGCTGTAGCTGCAGTAATAGTTGTAGCTGTAGCTACAGTATCAGTTGTAGTAGCTGCAGTAATAGTTGTAGCTACAGTAACAGTTGTCGTAGTAGCTGCAGTAATAGTTGTAGCTGCAGTAACAGTTGTAGTAGTAGCTGCAGTAATAGTTGTAGCTGCAGTAACAGTAGTAGTAGTAGCTGCAGTAATAGTTGTATCTGCAGTAACAGTTGTCGTAGTAGCTGCAGTAATAGTTGTAGCTACAGTAACAGTTGTCGTAGTAGCTGCAGTAATAGTTGTAGCTGTAGTAACAGTTGTAGTAGTAGCTGCAGTAATAGCTGTAGTTGTAGCTGCAGTAACAGTTGTAGTAGTAGCTGCAGTAATAGTTGTAGCTGCAGTAACAGTTGTAGTAGTAGCTGCAGTAATAGTTGTAGCTGCAGTAACAGTTGTAGCTATAGTAACAGTAGTAGTTATAGCTATAGTAATAGCAGTACTTGTAGCTGTAAGTAAGTTTATTCAGGTATACATAAATACAGTTACAAAGAATTATCATACATAGCAGTATGTGTATAGAGAACCTGGGATAACCCAAAAAAAGTCAGTGACTTATTTCCATTGGTGTTCTTTTACCTTATTATTATAATATAAACCTGGAGTTTACCTAGAGAGAGTTCCGGGGGTAAACGCCCCCGCGGCCCGGTCTGTGACCAGGCCTCCTGGTGGATCAAAGCCTGATCAACCAGGCTGTTACTGCTGGCTGCCCGCAATCCAACGTACGAGCCACAGCCCGGCTGGTCAGGTACCGACTTTAGGTGCTTGTCCAGTGCCAGCTTGAAGACTGTCAGGGGTCTATTGGTGATCCCGCTTATGTATGCTGGGAGGCAGATGAACAGTCTCGGGCCCCTGACACTTATTGTATTGTCTCTTAACGTGCTAGTGACACCCTTGCTTTTCATTGGGGGGATGTTGCATCGTCTGCCAAGTTTTTTGCTTTCGTTGCGAGTGATTTTCGTGTGCAAGTTCGGTACTAGTCCCTCTAGGATTTTCCAGGTGTATATAATCATGTATCTCTCCCGCCTGCATTCCAGGGAATACAGGTTCAGGAACTTCAAGCGCTCCCAGTAATTGAGGTGTTTTATCTCCGTTATGCGCGCTGTGAAGGTTCTCTGTACATTTTCTAGGTCAGCAATTTCACCTGCCTTGAATGGTGCCTGGAGTTTACCTGGAGAGAGTTCCGGGGGTCAACGGCCCCGCGGCCCGGTCTGTGACCAGGCCATTGCTGTTAGTGTGCAGCAATATTCCAGCCTAGATAGAACAAGCGACCTGAAGAGTGTCATCATGGGCTTGGCCCCCCTAGTTTTGAAGGTTCTCATTATCCATCCTGTCATTTTTCTAGCAGCTGCGATTGATATAATGTTATGGTCCTTGAAGGTGAGATTCTCCGACATGATCACTCCCAGGTCTTTGACGTTGGTTTTTTGCTCTATTTTGTGGCCGGAATTTGTTTTGTACTCTGATGAAATTTTAATTTCCTCGTGTTTACCATATCTGAGTAATTGAAATTTCTCATCGTTGAACTTCATATTGTTTTCTGCAGTGTGGAAAAATTGCATTTATCTGAATGTAACTCATTATGTACATAACAGTAAATGATAACAAAGATAATTATTATTTATCAATTACATAGACAAGTAGGGATTTGAGACACCTAGGTCGCAAAAAATGTCCCCCTTCGATACCTACACCTGTCATATCCACAAGTTGCTCTAGACCTATTAATTACAAATGAAAGATGCATCAACAAGAATTCTGGTAAATATATAAGTTTGTGGACTGTATATTAAAATTAAAAAATGATTATAGATACACATACACATAACAGAAGGAGAATATCTTAAAATCACTCACCAATTTGACTGGAGAACAAGGTGTATCATACTCAGAAAACCTCACTGTCTAAATTTATGAAAATACTGAACAGAATTATAACACAAATCTAGATAGCTTACCTGAGGTCCCTGGAGCTGTCTTGTCCAGTCGTCTGATATCTCAATTTATGCAGGAATGCACATCCAACAATTTCGTCTCCTGTTTGAGAGGTGTCAGCCCAATTTTACCTCTAGAGCACGAAAATTCTTCCCAATATTCATTAACATTTGTGTCCAACTCAAACAACAATGGCGAGTCTCTCCTGCGCAGGTGCAGGGTTTCCCATTTTCTATAACATAATTTTTATTAAATGCAATATAGGCCATCTATTTACCTATAAATTACCGTATTTCCGGAAAAATACAGTATTTTCCACATGCAGCCCATCGAAAGATTTGGTTGATGTCCGCCTGGAGCCTTGCAGTGTCTGCAATGGAAGACACTAGTTTTTTTTTTTTAGTTTAATATGTTTATTATGCACCCCATACCCATCCTGTGGGAGGTAGTCAAAAGATTACAGAGGTACATAATTGGTCCAGGGACTGGACTCCAAAGTTTTGATAGCTGAGCAAGTTACAAAGGTAATGAACTAGATCTGATCATAATCATGACAAGACACTGTCATGCAGATTCGGGTGTCATCTGCAAAGGAAGACACGGTGCTGTGGCTGACATCCTTGTCTATGTCAGACATGAGGATGAGGAACAAGATGGGAGCGAGTACTGTGCATTGTGGAACAGAGCTTTTCACCGTAGCCGCCTCGGACTTTACTCTGTTGACTACTGCTCTTTGTGTTCTGTTTGTGAGGAAATTATAGATCCATCTACCAACTTTTCCTGTTAATCCTTTAGCACGCATTTTGTGCGCTATTACGCCATGGGCACACTTGTCGAAGGCTTTTGCAAAGTCTGTATATATTACATCTGCATTCTTTTTGTCTTCTAGTGCATCTAGGACCTTGTCGTAGTGATCCAATAGTTGAGACAGACAGGAGCGACCTGTTCTAAACCCATGTTGCCCTGGGTTGTGTAATTGATGGGTTTCTAGATGGGTGGCGATCTTGCTTCTTAGGACCCTTTCAAAGATTTTTATGATATGGGATGTTAGTGCTATCGGTCTGTAGTTCTTTGCTGTTGCTTTACTGCCCCCTTTGTGGAGTGGGGCTATGTCTGTTGTGTTTAGTAACTGTGGGACAACCCCCGTGTCCATGATCCCTCTCCATAGGATGGAAAAGGCTCGTGATAGGGGCTTCTTGCAGTTCTTGATGAACACGGAGTTCCATGAGTCTGGCCCTGGGGCAGAGTGCATGGGCATGTCATTTATCGCCTGTTCGAAGTCATTTGGCATCAGGATAACATCGAATAGGCTTGTGTTAACCAAA